CGGGAATCTGTCTTGGGCTTCTTGCCCGAACCCTCCACACCAGACACATACTCTGGCTTCCTCTTTCTCTCCATCTCTAAATCAATCTCCCTCTCACGAGCCCTAGCAATCATGTCCTCCAGCCTCTTGCAGTTGGAGTGGCTCACAAACTGGCGAATATCACTCCGCAACATCTCATGATATAAGGCCTTCTTCATATCCTCGTCCGCCACATACTGCAGAACGAGAAGGGCCCTCTCCCTAAACTTGGCGGTGATCTTCGCCACAGTCTCTGTCGTCTGCTCCAGATCATGGAACTCCCTCGCTAGCTGTTGCACCTCAATCATAGGTGCAAACTCGACCCTGAACCTGGTCGAAAAATCACTCCAGGTCATCGCATCCAAAACTGCATCATCTCCAATGGCTCTCCCAACCTCCTCCTACCATTCATGTGCCCTGTCCTTCAGAAGACAGGACGCAAGTCTAACCTTGTCCCCCTCGGGACATCTGCTAGTGCGGAATGTGTTGGCGACATCCGCCAACCATCTGGTGCTCGCAATGGGGTCCCGAGCCCCATGATAGTCGGGAGCTCCACAAGCCCTAAACTCCCTGAAAGTCAGTGTGCGCCACCCCATTATGGCCGCCACCTCAGTGCGGAAAGTGCTCAGCTTATCATCCAGACGCTCCAAAATACCCTCCTTGACCGAACCAAAGATCACAGGAGTCTGGTCTAGAATAGTACGTGTGATCTCAGACGAGATGAACTCCCTCTTCTGCTCGTCAAGCTGCCCGGCTCTAGAGCCCGAGCCCGATCCCTCACCAGTGCTTGAAGTGCCAACCGGTCTAGTGCGTAGCGTCACCATACTGAAAATACACCATAACAAACATCAGTATACTCATCATATCTCGAGGGATCTATCACACTACAAGTTTCCTGGATTCATCTCAGCCTTCCTTGATTCGAGTACGGATCCTCTACTTTCAGTAGTACGGGCCCATACTACCTTCCACATCTATCCGTACTTTCCTTAAGAATTGCCTCGACTCCATCAAGTCCCTTCTACCACTACTGCTGATCTCATGCTAAACTCATCTTAGGCTTGCCCTAGGGAAATCACCAACCCACTCTCCGCTATCAGCTGTATAAGAAATTCCTGCTATCTCCCCCTAACTAGATCGTGAATACTATTACATACCACTAAGACTAGATAATTCTTCGAATGAGAGGTCCTACCCTACAACAGTTGGACTCAAACAAGAGCTACGCAATAGAGCTAGACCTAACCCTCTGAAATTATTTAGTCCTTGCAATATGTAACTTAACATATTCATTTACTAGTTAGTAAAAGATAACTAGAACTCCTAAAAGCACAAAGCAATCAACATTCGAGCATCGAATAAACATAATCAAGCATATCTCTCCCAGACTATCCCTGACTAATCTGTACTAGCATGTGGTTCATAAAGCTGAGATACATATAACAGACAGATAATGCATCCTTCCTAGATCCTTAGTCCTAATCTAGCATGTAATTCTCATAAAGCTGGTACACATATATTAGGCACATAAGGCATCCTTCCTAGATCCTTAGTCCTAATCTAGCATGCAGTTCACATAAACATATCATAACATAAACTTGTATGCATAATTTGGGAGTACTTACTTGAGCTTGGCTGATTGCATGCACCACACCCTTTTTCTCTTTTCAAAGTTCTTTTCTCTTTTCAAAATTCTTTTTGTAAAAATGTTTTTCTTTTAAAACTTTTCATACCAAGTCCTTAGTTTGAGTTCAAACACACCCGAGAGTGTGCCCGAATCCCTCAAACCAAGGCTCTGATACCAACTTGAAACATCCCAAAAATACAGACCATAAATTTCGTTCTTAATTATTAATAAAACCATAGTTATCCAAAACATATGTCATAATATTTCAAACATCATATCAATGTATATCAAAATATAAGAGTATAAACATCCCAGGCTGGACAAATGGTGTGTGCACTGCAATCATCCTGAGTTCTTCCCCTTGCTACCGGAAGTACCTGAAACCAAAACTGTAAACTGTAAGCACGAAGCTTAGTGAGTCTCCCCAAACTAACACATACCATACACATAACATGCAACTAGGAGATACGGGCCCCGCCCACACTCATGGAGATACGGGTCCCGCCCATACTCTGCTAACTAGGAGATACAGACCCTGCCCACACTCAGCTGCTACGAGATACGGGCCCCGCCCACACTTGGCTACTATGAGATAAGGGACTCGCCCACACTCAGCTGCTATGAGATACGGGCCCCGCCCACACTCAGCTACTAAACATACATACAAGTATCATACAGACAACAAGTATAACTAATTCTATCAATCAGACATATATCCATAATCAAACTAAGCTATGAGATACGGGCCCCGCCCACACTCGGCTAACTGGGAGATACGAGCCTCGCCCACACTCAGCTACTAACATAATCATACTACGGGCCGACCTTGGTGCCGTAGACCCGTTCCTACTTAAGGAAACTCACCTCGTATGCTAGCTGTGAAACCTCGTGTGAGGAATCTCTGGCTGCTGCTCCGACGACTCCTCGGCTATAAATTTCATAATAATACTTAATCAAAATGTGATAATCCTTCTTAGGGTAAAATGACCATTTTACCCCTGGTCAAATTCAACGCTTGGGTCAAAGTCAACCTTCTGGTTGACCCAACTCGTCGAGTCCTAGAACTTGAAATCGCGATCTAACTCGTCGAGTCTCCCCCTGATTCGTCGAGTCCCCAGGCTACTCATAGTCGCGATCTACCGATTTAACTCGTCGAGTCCCTTCACCGACTCGGCGAGTTCTATCTGAAGCTAAAACGGGACAAACTAACTCAACTCGTCGAGTCCCTCTATGGACTCGCCGAGTTCCCCTGTCTGATTGAGCCATCTCAATGGATTAAGCTCCTACCCTTTAGATCCAAGCTCCAAACTTCATCTACACACTGGGAATACACTTTTAATGGTAAAGTTTCCAACTTTACCCGCTCCTAGTCCTTCTTAATGGGTTTAGCTCAAACCCTAACTCTCTAAAACATAGATCTTGGTCCACAAGCCATAATACCCTAAACTACGACACACTATACTAGATCTAGGCCTTGGACATTAGTTGGACACATAAAGTTCTAAGCTTTCCTTCCAAGCATGGCCTCTTAGGGCTAAAGAGGCCATATTAACACCTATAAGCTTGCATGGGGCTTCCATGGTCATAAAGTTTGCACCTTTATGCCATGGAACCCCTCCTAGATCCCAGATCTGAAATATAAGTCACTTGAGACGTCCAAATCCCAAAGACCAAGGTTCTTGCACCAAAAACCCTCATAAAATGGAAGTAATTAGATCTAAGAAATGAATGATCAAGTTAGAGACTTGATTACCAGAAAGTAATGAGGATGGAAGGAAATCCCTGGATCTACTATCTTCTCCTTAAACCTTCTAGCTCCTTCTCCTTCTTCTAGCTTCAAGAACACACCAAAACACTCAAAAATGGCTCACAACTCACAAGACACTCTAGGGTTTCGTGGATTAGGGTTTAGGACATGGAGGCTGGAAATGAGGCCAAATGGTGGGGATTAAGATGCTTAAATAGGGTGCAAAACCCCTAAATTAGGGTTTCACTCTGACAGACCTACTCGCCGAGTCGAGGGCTCTTGACTCGTCGAGTAGGTGGCTGAAATCCCGCGTCCAAAACTCAAATCTACTCGACGAGTCTGGGGCTCCCAACTCGTCGAGTAGCTCTATAAAAATGAATAATTTGTAAATAAATGCGTACCAGGAACCGGACGTTACAAGTCTATCAGCAGATCTACTCAGTATCCTTATACCAGAGAGTTATCATACCAAAATCCATATGATGACATACTGCAGACATACGAACCGAGGATGCAGCATGATGAAGAGGAAGCCTTTCAACATGCCTTGGCCATGGTTAGTCAACAGTTCAAAAGGCACCCTCCACCCAACTACCGTAAAAATCAGCAGTTCACCAAACCACCTTTTAACCGAAGATACAATTCACAAAACAAAACTTCTCATCATCACTATCCTCAACTCTCCAGATACCCTAGAAATCCACCATATCAACCACAGTCTCAGAATACACCTTTGATGCTTACAAAATCCACTGAGAAGATAAATCGTCTGACATTGTAGATGACATCGAATAGAAGAAAGAAGGAGTTCTCATATGTCGTAAGTGTCACAAGAAAAATCACTTCGCAAGAGACTGCAAAGCTAAAGTGGTAAAAGACAAAACATTCTATCTTAGAATGGCCCAAGAGGCTGAAGACAAGGAGAAAGCGTTTGTGGCACAAGTAAGAAGAGACCATCAAGTATGGTCTTCGAGAGATGAAGATGATGATAATGACAACAAGAGGAAACGAGGAAAGCTATGTCTTGTTGCAAGGAAGAATGAGGACACCACAAAGCTGAAGAAGAACTACTGCTTCATGGCAAAGGAAGGGAACATCAACATCGTTGAACATGTAAGATTTATGATTTAGTCAAACAACTATAGCATGCATGACTGTGAACCACATCTAGAAAAACTTACTCAAACGTGTGTTGACGTCCTTTCAGATTATAACAAAGCCTTAGATGATAAGAACATAACGACCCAAGAGTTGTACCACTTGAGAGGAAGACTAGAAGATAAGAAGCTTAAAGTCACTATCTTAGAAACAGATCTGAAACTAGAAAAAAATGCTAGGTTGCTTAGTAAAAATTAGTTAGATGTTGCTTTCAATCAACGAGATTTAGCCCAAGCTAAAATTGTACATTTAAACAAAATAATAAAAATGAAAGTGAAGCAATTGAAAACTTAGTCAACAATGGTTCTTTAGACAACACTTACAATTGGTGTTGGTCAAATGGAAACCATTACATTCCTTTGTTCTTTCAGTCATTCTTTGATTATCAGAGTTTTCTTCTTAGGTAATTGTTCTATTCTCCCTTCTTGCATTACTCTTGTTTATTTGATTATGGGAAAAAGACTCGTTCGAGCTAGGGCTAGATCCGAGAAACCTGTTGTCGAGGATTTCATAGATTTAGGTTTGTTGCCTCAGAATGAAAGTAAAGTCGGTAGTTTTTCGAATGTCGACATTGATTTGCTTCGATCTTCGGACAAGACAAGGTATGATCTTTAGGGTTCCTGGGCCAGAATTAAGATCATGTTATCTTTCTCCATCTTAGGTTTGCTTTTACGAGTTTCCTTTTTCCATTGGCCTATCCTTTCCTTTCCCTTTTTTGATTTCTAAATTCTTTCATGTCACCAAACTCTCTTATGCCCAAGTTATGCTAGTTACTTGGCGTGTTTTGTTCTGGATTTATCATCTTAATGAAACTGAGGGTTTGAGCCTTGGATTGTCTGAAATGGCGAGCGTCTATAAGCTCCAAAATTTTGATCATTAATGTGTCGTTCTTAAGGTGAAGAGCGATAGCTCTCACCTAGTCTTAAAAAGTTCTCCCACAGATTATGATTGGAAAGGGAGATTTATTTGATAAGACTAGCTCCCTTGGACAATACCTTTTTTCCCAAGATTGGCTAACTGAATGTAGGAGTTCAATATTTTGGGTATTTTCATTTTGTGTTTTTCCTTAATTATGATCTTCTTCTTCTTTTTATGGGCAGTTCTGAAGTTCGACAGAATTTTCCCCTCTCGACAGGATACTAAAGAGAAGGTCCAAAGATTCTTGGAGATTTTAGTGGAAAAAAGAAGCTTTGGAGTGGTAGAAGCTTGCCTTTTAGGGAATCTTAGCTCATCCATCGCGATTGAAGACCCAAAATCAACTATGTCTATAGGTATGTTGTAGGAAATCGTTATTTGAACTATTCCTATCTTAGTTGATAATACTGTCCCTCGTTTAGGTGCAAGGCAAACTTGCTATGGTGCTCTACTCAACACTCCTTTCAATGTGGATGACTTCCTTTTGACAAATTCTGTTGTGAAAATCGAGAAATCCACCATTACAGGTGCAAGAAAAATAGAAAACAAGGCAAAGATTATCGATCCCAAGAAGAGGAAATTCACTTTGGAGGTGGGCCAGGAAGTGTTTTATGGGATCAATCCTTTCTAGGTTAAGCAGAAAGTGGTTATGTTGGTTCAGTCTATAAGTTTCCTGTTCTTCCTCTTTCTGTATTTCAATAATGTCTTCTTACTACAAATTTTGGGTCCAGGCCACCACACTAATGCTAAAGGGTGTTGAAGAACTTAAGAAGGAACTTGAGTTCACGAAGAAACAGTTTGAGTTGGATATGAAGCGAATGATAAGGAACTTGCATCGAAGGTGAAGGAATTGACTGTTAAGAGAGAAGAACTGGAGAGTTGACAGAGGAAAGGAATGACTTGAATGATCAATTGGACGATCTCAAGAGCAAAGCTAAAACATTGACAACTATCTCGGTTTTGGAAGTTAGGTTGAAAAAGGTGGAGGATGTTAAGAATAATAGGGTGTTGGTGATTTTAGTGTTATCAACATGTTTTAGTGTAATCATTAATATTAAGATAGGTTGAGTTCTACTTCACTCATCGAGCTTGGAGGTGCGTGGTGCACACTCAGAGTGATTAATATGAGTTCGGGATATGGGGGTCTTGGGGCAGCGCCCCTAGCGGGGTCCAAGGGGCAGACCCCCTGGTGGTCGGTATCGGTTATATACAATAACCACCATATTTTGGCGCCAATTTTTGTTTAACCAATTTTAACCACTTGTCCTTCATGTATAAATAAGATATGAATGTTCCAAGAAAATGGTTGAAAAAATCTTATATATTCGAAATCTATTTATCTTATTTTTTTTCTATCTCTCAAGAACACATCAAGCAAGGTATTATGTGTTTAATAATCCAAATTTAGGCCTGTAATTTGCATTGGTTCATCCTTGGATTATCCCACTTCTGAATTCGTATACCCCAGACAAAAAGGGATGAACATATTTCGGAAAGTGTCCGAAAACACAATTGAATCTATCCGAATTTATATTTATTGTTATTTCCGATTCCCTCAAATCTAACATAAGGTTGATTCTGGGATAAGGCCAAGTGGGAGCAAGCTTCGAAGAAGTTTAAGGATGAAGAGCAGGATGATAAGAAGGTTGGAGAGGGGAATTTCGAAGACTAGGATGTTGAGGGGAATTTCGAGGACTAGGATGTTGAGGGTCCGAAGAAAGATGAGGATATGGGTTCTTGATGTGTTTCAGTTTGCTGTTTGTTGGGTTTCTTGAACAATTATGTTTGGTTTATGTTTTAAGACAATTTATGATTTGTAATAGGTTATGCATGCTTTAGGGAGACATGATACTCTTTCTTTTTTGAATGATGATGGATGGTTTAATTTTGTAATGAAGTTAGAAATATTTTCTTAGGATTGCAGCAAAACATATTTCAAGTAACGAATTGAAGTCTCCTCTTTGAAAATAAGAATATTTTTTAAACAATTGTTCTTTTGAATAAAAGATCAAGTATTCAAGATAGGCTCTTCAAATGAAAGATCCCAACTTAGAAGAATAGGGTAAAAGGATTTGTGTTTAAATACTTAGAATAGTATAAAAATAAATTTTGACATCATACCTTATTCTTAAGACATATTTGAGAAAATATATTTTGATAAAAACATGTTCATGAATGAAACTAATTTTGATGCAATATAAAAAAAATTTGAGTGTAAGGAAAAAATGTGACACACTTAAAACGGAAGTTTTAAAATTATGAGTAAGAAACAATCTTAGAACTCAAGAGTGTTATGAGGATTGTGTACCTTATATCTGATATCTTGGGATGAAATCTTAGGATGATATCTTGAGCCGAAGTGATTTCGTTTGTTATCTTGAGATTACGTCTTAGGATAATATCTTGGACACTTTGTTTAATATCTTGGGATGTCCCTGTTGTCTTACATTGTTGGTTTTGATCTTAGATCCGGATGTCTTTGTATTAGTGAACATAATTATGTTCTCACTAATTGACAACATAGAAATGTTGCAAATCTTAGGATAACCTTGCCTGAGGATTGTTCCCTTGGGATTTTCCATATCCTTGGGATATTCCCTTGGCTTAAGTTCAACATGTTAATGTTAAATGTATGACTATAAGTTCTCGGCTGCATGACACGCCCGTGTCATTCCATTGAATTTTACATATGTTCTAGCAAATATTTAGTAATACGGAGGTTGTCGGTTACTAAAGCGTAAGTCAATCGCCATATCCTTTGACTATCGTGAGAAATTGTACGTCTAAACGAGGTATTTAAACCTTATCTCATATAAAGACGTCAACCCTTAAACCTTAGAAGGTATCATGGATACCTTGGATCTTAGGACCGGTGATCATCGCCTAAATTCTTGGTCAAGATCTTTGGAGTCTGCAAAACAAAGATATTGGATAAAAGGTGGGTATTAGCTTTTTGGTTGTGCTCAATTGTTTGGTGGAAAACTATACATGGGCATAACAGACAAGGAAGGCCTTAAGTACTACCATAACGTAATTAATGAGCTCAAGAGCAATGGTATTGAATCATATACCACTTTGTTTCACCGGGACAATTCCAATACTTTGAACGAAATTTTAAAATTCCATTTTTTTCAAACACATCGACACATTAATAAAATAAGGACTTCTTAGTTACCAAAGTTTTGGTATCCCAGATCTTTCAACTTTCTTCTCTCTTTACAATTAACAATGACTATAACTCAAAGCATCACTGGAAATTCTTGCCAGTAAATGCAAGAAATATCAATGTACTTTGATTGACTTGTTTATTACAGCAGCAACATCCTACTCTTATTATTTTTTTTCCTATTACAACATCGGACTTTTGAAAATCTACTTATTTGTAGCAATTTCATCCACATGCAAAACAAACTTCCTGTTATAATTGAGTAGATTTTTCAAAGTTTAATGTATTTATAAGAAAAAGTAGCATGTTGTTATGCAAAGAAATGAAAATAGAATGCAATACACAAATCAATGGAAGTATGTTATTATTTCTTGCATTTATCCAATTTCAAATCCATGCATCTCTAGTTGTGCAAACTTGAGATAAGGGCCATGATTAGTTAGATATAGTGTTTTCCTCGAACAATAAGGCATCAAGTTTGTTAACTATGATCCCATTTCCCGCAAAAAAACAAAACAATCCTTGCTTGTACTTTATAAATGAAAGAGATTTGATTAAAGGGGAAGGTATTGACCAACCATGCATCATGTTGATCCTTGGATATGCTTAATCTGGCATACTCTATATATGTGAATTGTGAAGGGAATCTAAGTTGAAAACAAAACGGATATCAAGTTAATAAGCTAAGTAGCATACTATTTAGATGAACTTTGTTAAACCTTTACAATATTAATCGATCATCAAAATAACATTTGTTACAAGGAAAAAGATTGAAAAAGCAAGAATCGGTGACTAACAATTGTGTATCCATGTATCTGTAAAGGAAGGTGAAATCAATATCCTATGAACGGCCTAAAGATTCTTCAAAAATGGCATTCATTCCATCTCAAGGGCAGGAAGAGGGTGCATAAGCATCCTATCAGAATCAAGTTGAGCCATGATGGGAGGATCACCTGGCCTCACCTTGTTACGACTCAATAATCCCAATAGAACAAAGCACATTATCAACACCATAATTGAATGCACAACAAACAACAAATTCATCAACGCCATACCCCTCAATTTATCCTCTTCAAGGTCACATTTGACATCAGTATTCCCCTGACCCTGAGATGGAGCAATCACCACTTTACCACACCCCTTAAACGCAAAAGCATCTGTGTACAACGATAATCCAACTTGCAAAACCCAAGTACCCTTCAAAACAAGCCCAGAAGACAACAAAAAGTCTGCAAAATATGCAGATGGCTTAAGCGAAAGAAAGAAACAAGCTGCAGAACAGACTAGTGTCAATCCACCTAAGAAACTATACTCAAGTTCACCAAGACCAACAATGCCTTTGCCGTTCATTAGATACTCGATCAGAAAGGCAACCCCAGCGAAAACGAATATGAAATGCTCAGGCATTGCGATGGGATCAATAAATTCTTTGATTGCAATGAAAATGAGGAGTACCCAGAAAAGGAAAACGACTACAGATTGCTGCAAGAAGGAGAACTTGTAAGTCGGGTGGCCTGAAAATGCAAGAAACAGGAAAAGATGGGAGAAAGAAGCAATGGGGAGGGCAACAAGGAAGACAAAAAAGTCAACGTTTCTCCAAGTAGGGTTTGAGAAGTACCATGTTTTGGATCGATAGAGCGATGGGTTGTTGAGGTAGATCGAGAAAGAGGATACGAGGCGCCGGACGCCGAGAGGGAAGAGAAAGAGGAATGATGTGAAATGGGTTCCTAATGATCCCATGTTAATGTTAGGATAGGATTAACGTTTGATTTGGACGATGAGATTAAGATTTTTGATGACGAACTCCAGTGGAAGCGGCAGTGAAGATCAGAGATTCTTGAATCTTGATGATGAATTCCGGCGTAACGTAGTTTGATAGATGAATCGCTATATGAACTATGACGTGGGTTCTTGGAAAGTTGAGGAGGTGGACTTGGTTGAAAGTTAATTCAGTACCAATAACCCTAGATTGTCTGGTTTTCTGCCCTTTACCTCAAAATTACAACCTTCGGCAAAATAAAAACATTTCACAATAAATGAATATATAACAAATATATTGAACTAGTAAGGTAAGTTTGGGTTTCGTTTTGGGATAGGTTCTTTTTATTTATTTATTATTTATTATTTATTTATATTTGAATCTAAAAAACAGAAAAGTATGATGCTATTGGGTTCTAATAAATGAGATACCTTGTTATTTCTTGCATTTAGTATAAAAACAAAAAGTAGAAGGCACCAAAAAAATCATTAAAACTCCTTAAAGATGTTATAAAAAAAATTCACTTATGCCCTCATACCTTTCAATTTTTTTCCGTGGAACAATTCCATGGATCTCCGCCATAGGCCTCGGTGTATGCAATATAATCACCCAAGACATAACTATTGTTATGATTCCACAGCCCCTTAGGCTTGAGGGAGTGGCCTCGCCGCCCCTCTCGCCAAAACACACACTATCAATTTTTACACCATCCCCTATGAGTTGCTAAGGGACTCGCCAAATAAGAATCACTACTGTAACAACGAGAAGAGAGAGAAGGAAAAGATGGGCTGTGATTGGTTGGGGCTGTTTTCATTTATTTTTATATATATTTTTTTTTAAAACAAAACCTATTAAACTCCTCTCACTACCACTCCCTATCCTTTTTAGCCTATACATGCTAATGTTACTTGGCAATATAAAAACCTATGTGACAATAAAAAACTCTACATGGCAAGATGCTAGGAGTGTTACCACTCCCCTTAGCCTTAATTATACGAAATCACATATTAGATGTCTCTACGTCTTCTCAATGAAGTAATTTTCCAAAAATAAATCTCGAATCACAAACCAAATGACCAATTTAGATTTCATTAATTCCAAAAGGCAAAATTACCACAAAAAAAAAATAGTAAAAGTAAGCTTCAAAGGCAATCAAATGGGTAACAAATTAAAATTGAATAATAAGAAGTAGAGAAAGAAACCTACGGTTCAGAAAATTACAAATAAACAATGTCGGTTAAATGCAAGAAAAAGCAATGCACTTCTGATTTTTCCTATAACCACATTGTACTTTGAAAAACATAGCAAATTACAACAATGTCGTCCAAATATACACCCACTTTGCTTGCTACAATTAAGCAAACAGGTAAAAAATACAAGTACCTTGCCATTTATATATTTCATTAGTTAAGCGAGATACATGTAGCAAAAGATTTTGAAAACAAATAATTTTCTAGTGTATATAAGAAAAGGGATACACGTACATAGTGTTACTTATAACATAATACATAAATGGCAACATACTTGTAATTTTTACTGATTTAATAAATGGTCCAAAGTAAGGACTAAAACCGGAAAATATATAATACTATAATTCGCAAATATATGAAATTGTATTACTATTATTTGCATTTAAATGGTAAATCCAAAATTTATTATTGAAAACCTAGTTTTTACATCAGATTTTTAACTAACTTTCCATCTAAAATCCAACCTTTCAAGAAGTTTGGTACTTTAGAGCTATGGATGAACGCCGACCCCTATTCTTTATTTTCAACAACATGATAGTTTTTAGCATCATCAGTTGACGTGAAAAACAACAATTTCAATTGAAAAAAAACAACAAATATTTGAAAAAATATAGTTGAAGGTGATTGATTCATACATTAAAGGTTGTTTGAAGTCGTCACTTTGGTTCCTCGATAGTTGATTGTAACATGTCATGTAAATTTAATCTAAATGTTTCAATTCGTCACTTTAAATGTTTTTTTTATTATAACATCCGTCACTTGAGGTATTATTTATTTTAAACATTATTTATTTATTGTTGGGCTATGAATTGGAGAGGTGGATTATTGAGTTGGACTTTAGCAAGTGGGCCGAGTAGTTGGGCTGCCCAGAAGACGTACGCTGGGCGTAAGCTTGGCGTACACGGGGCGTAGAGGAGATTTGGATTCGGGACGCGCATGAACGTACGCGCAGCGTACCAAGGAGTACGCGCAACATACGTGAGCAGATTCCAAACCCCAATTTTTAGGGTTTAAGCCATATAAATAGAACATTATGACTCAAACCCTAGCCTCCTTACCAGCCTCTCAACCTCAGAAACCCTAGATACCCACTCTTACTCCATTCTTGTGTGTGTTTGGCCTTTTGAAGCTTGCTTTGGTGAATTGGAGCTTGGAAGAAGAGAACAGAAGTTGGAGAAGAAGAACTTGAGTATCTTGAGCTCAAGGATCTGAGATTATCTCACCTTTTGTTACCCATTGGAGGTATAAAGCTTCTAACTTTCCTCATGAATGCTTAGATCTAGGTTTATGGAGTTTTGGACCTTTCTAGGTCCAAAGAATGGATTTTTATGGTGCAAATTCGTGTTTAGGCTTAAGGTTGCCACCCTTAGTGTTAGATGTGTGTGACAACCCGAAATTTCTCTTTTGTATAAACCATTCAATTCAATCAAAGTCAGACTCGTTTCTGTTATCTTTTAGCAATGTTTAAGGGTTCGTTTAAGTGTTCTAAGCTTAAGTACAATCAAGGTTGAGATTAGGGATGAGTTAACAAAGTCGTGAGGTAGCATTTCGGGCCATACACTCCTTCAGGAGGAGTGTATGGCCGTACACATGGGTGTGCGGCCGTACACCCCCTCATGGCCGCACACTCAAGGTGGTGGGTCACCCACCCCTATATATATGAGTAGACCTCACTTCCTTCATTCCTTTCTTCCCTTGGCTGCACACCACTCCATTTTTCTCTCAAGCTTCTTCAACCGTGAACCCTCCAAGGCTTCAAAAACATAAGTATTCAATCCTTTAGCTTGTTATACTTGAAAGACCTCTTGATTTAAGCCTTGATTCTTCAATTTTCAACATGTTCTTCATCCTTTGAAGGAGTACGGCCGTACACCTTCATAAGGTTGTCGTACACACCTTAAAGGCCCTCCAAGGTGAGAGTTTAGCCCCTATCATCTAGTTGAACATGCTAAACCTTTGATCCTAGCCTTGATTCACCTTAAAATCGGCCAATTTAGCATGAGCATGAAGGGTGTACGACCGCACACCCCTTGTACGGCTGCACACGCCTCATAGGGCCGTAAACCCTCTTTGATACTCATTATTGGCCTTAAACTTGCATTTAAACTATGCATGGGACCAAGAACACTCCCTTGATGCTAGTTAGGACCTTGAAGACACCTCAAATACACACTTCTTCATGAGTGTACGGCCGTACACCCATGGCCGTACACCCATGGCCGTATACCCATGGCCGTACACTCATGCTCTTGGCCGTACACTCCCTTTTGATCAATCACATGTGATTGCAACACTTAGTTCAAGCGTTTCCTAGTCCCTAGGGTGGTTTCGTATCATAACTAGTTGTGATATACCCCAATTTGATTCATATGTGTGTTATTACATGCTAAATAGGATCCATTTGTGTTCGAGACTTCACTTGACACTCAACATCCCATATTGGTCTTTCATTCAAGCCACTCACTTCAGGTGAGTTCATACCCCTATATTTTTCCGAGTTTTTAATGTTTTCAGGGGGGAGGGGAATACAAGCCATACATAAACGATTTTATGAAACTAATACAAAAGGATTTCAACTTAAAACAGATGCAATCGATACAAATATACAATTTCTATACTTTGATAAAATATTTAGATATTTTATCCCTTTTTGCAACATGCTGAGCATAAAGGACGATTTCAACTTATAAACATAATCATATAGTTTTTAGATTAATACATAAATCAAGGTTATACATACATACACACAAACTATAAACGGTATAGTTTGGGAATTCATACAAGGTTATACATACGTACACACAAACTATAAACGGTATAGTTTGGGAATTCATACAAGGTTATACATACGTACACACAAACTATAAACATTATAGTTTGGGAATTCATACAAGGTTATACATACATACACACAAACTATAAACGGTATAGTTTGGGAATTCAATACAAAGTTATACTTACACATACACACATCTTTTATAAACCTCTCTGTTATTTTTAAAAAGGTTTTCTCGTATTATTACTTGTAATGTCGTTAATCTAGTTTGAGAGACACGTCTTTGGGTACAATTAAATGTACTATTGGAAGACTACCCTAATGAACCAGAATCTCCTCGAAGGAGAGCAATGAGTTTGTGTATAGATCTATACGGGACTGCCTATCCCGCACCTTGCTGCTAGCTACAATAGGACCGGCAGGTCTACGGGTGACAAAGTCATTAGGAATACCGGTGCCCGATTTGCGCCATATCAAGTTTAGTATGGTCATAAAACTCGCGAACAGATAACAACGATATACTTACTTAGTAATACACATTACATGAACAAATATTATTTAGTATAAGTATGGAGAATACATAGTTTCTTATTGAGAAATAAAAACGACTATACATCACTGGTGGTAACCAGGGTTTTCAAACGGAACATCCTATACATCACTGGTAGTAACCAGGGTTTTCAAACATAACATCCTATACATTACTGGTAGTAACCAGGGTTTTCAAATAGAACATTCTATACATTACGGGTGATAGCCAGGGTTTTCATACAAGGGATTTTCATTCAAAACAACGTTATACAATACAGTTGATGGTAATCAGACATGCAGACTAATACATTTTACACTACTGCAGTACACAGTATCAAACTCATATGTTAGAAAATATCAGATCTTCTTGGAAAGCATATGAACATTTTACAGATTCAAAGACAAATTTTCTCTACAAAAACAT